ACCCCCAACCACTTTTGCTCACCTAAAAATTTGACTCCCATTTGGTTAAATGAAGGACAGCAAGATGGGGAGATTATCCTAGATTATATAATTTATTAGTGTGCTGTTCATCACTATAACATATCCCTGAGACAATCGGTTTATGAAGAGGAAGGGTTTATTTTGGCTCACTGTTCTGAAGATTTCATTCCATGAAAGTCAAATGCTCTTGCCTGTGTTTGGCACAATGCATCAGGGTGGAGGTGGCACTTACATCATGGTAGCTGGAAAGGGAAAGGGAGGAAAGGCCTTTGATCCCATTATCTCCTTTGAGGACATACCCACAGTGACCTAGGACTATGTCCCATCTCTTTTAAGTTTCTGCCATTCTTTTTGTGCTAAGATTGAACCCAGGGCTTTTGCACTGAATTGCATACTCAGCCATTTTTATATTTTATTTACTTTCTTTCTTTTTTTTTTTTTTTTTTTTTTTGAGACAGCTCTTGCTTAGTTGCTAAGTTGTCCAGGTTGGTCCAGTGGTCTTCCTGCCACAAGAGTGCTGGGATTACAGGCTTGCACCACCACACCTGGCGAGTTTCCACCATTTCTCAATAATACCAAGCTGGGCACTGACCTTTTAACAAATGGGCCTTTGCTGCATACTTCAGACATAGGCTGTAGCATTCAGGTTGGCTCGACACAAAATTACAGGAGGCAGGAGAGTGAGGGCCCTGAGCTGTGGGATGTGGGCAGCCTCTGGAAGCTGGAGAAGTGGAGAATGGATTCTGCCCATTAGCCCCTAGAAGGAGCTTGCCCCACTCACTCAGATGTTAGCCTCCTGGAGATTTCTGATCTCCAGAACTGTCACATGATGCATTTGCATCGTGTAAGCCACAAAACAAGAGTTTCTGGTAACTTGTTTTAGTAGCCTAGGAAAATCAGTACAACAACTATATTCAAATGCAATTTCTATACCATAAATCAACTTGTAAAGCATGTAAGTTAGGGTTTTTTTATATTCACAAAAGTGTGTACTAAACAGTTTTGGAAGATTCAGAGTGTTCTATGAAATGAAAACTAAGTGATATTTGGTCAGATGGAGCTCTACACGGGTGCTGATGTAGGTAACCAGTACCGTTTTGGCGCATGGACTTGTGCGGCCTGCACCCAGTGCCTGCTCACAGGACTGCTACGGGCAGTGAACGTAGCCATTCCTTTTCCTCTTAGCGGGGAGCCTTTCCTTGTAACCTTTTCTGTTGTGTTTCCCTCAAAAGTGTTTCTAATATGTATTTTCTGTATTGACCTCAAATTGGTTCTTCCTTGAGTTTTAGCTGCCAAACATACAAATCTCTAAATTTTGAATCTGTTACCAAGATGCTGCAGAACCCCTACAGCTTAATATAAACTTCCTGATGAATGGATAAGAAAAACATGTTGTTTTGTACATTTTTCATGAACTGACTTTATAACTTTCTGCTCCAAGAAATCATTCTGTATGAAAGAAAATGCCTCTGTGTTGGGGAAGGATTGGCCAGGGATATTTAGGGTTCCACCTTGAGTTGTTTTGTGTGTGATGACCTCTGAGGAAAGCTTCTGATCCTTTTGATCATTCAAAATAAGCCAATTTATGACCCATTTTACTTTGTTCTATTTATTGTTTGTGGTGTTAGAGATTGAACACAGAGCCTCACATGTTAGGCAACTACTGTGCCCCTGAGCTGTATCCCTCTACCCCATTTTAACTTTTTTTTGTGTCTTTTTCCTTTTTATCGGTACCAGGGATCGAACTCACGACTGCCTGCTTGCAAGGCAGACGCTTATGCCGCTGAGCTAAATCCCCAGCCCCATTTTAACATTTTAAAGTGTATGTGTGTACAGATATTAACGCCCCTCTATAGAGCTGCCCACACACACCTTAGTTGACATACTACAGATCTTCCAAATGACTTGTATGAGAAAAATCTCATACTTTCTCTCCCTCTTAAACAATTCAAGTCAAAGCTCCTTTGACCTACATTGTCCTTTACCCTTTTTATGGCTTAGGCAGGAGACACTGTCTACCTCGTTAGCAGGGGATTCACAATCTCCATGAAGACTGTTTTTGCTTAAGATGATAGAGAAACTCATTTATACTTTGTCATGTCCCTTTTTTAGTAAAGACAGTGACCCCATTATATCTAAAAGCAATCACAAAGGCACAGTGTTAAGGAAGAGAATAAACTAAAACCAAAACAAAGAGCATGCTTGGTTGTGCTGGTGTTCTCCTGTGGGCTCCAAGTGGCCTCACAGAATGCCACCCTCAGACAAGGTCACTCTTAGTCATGACAGGAGGCAAGCTTCCTAAATCAGGCTGAGTATGGGCAAGAACAAGGGAGCCATGTGACTTACACCAAGCACCCCTTTTTTGGTTTTAACTTTATCTTTGTCTGGTGTCCTTTCTCTCTGGAGATTTAGTGAGCTACTTACTCAATCTCCCAGTTGCCTTGCTTTCTGACAGCATCTCAGGCAGTGTGCCCCACTTCCTTTGGCCTCCTGGTGATGTCCGAGCCAGAGCCCAAGTCTGGGACCCTCTTTCTGAGAAGCCTTGCTGAGAGCCCTGTGCGGATCTCCCCAACTCTGCAAATCTGATGTCCTCCCCTGCCGTGTGCTCCTATTGGCTTTTGGCTGAAGAAACATCCACATCTTCAAGAACCATCACAAGAAGACAAGCATTGCATGACCTCAGTCCTTTGTAGAGTCTGAAACAGTTTTTATCTCATAGAAGTCCACAGAGTGGCAGTTCCCAGAGGCTGAGGGGTGGAGGAGGGAAGAGGAGAGGCTGTAGCGGGCTCTGAGTTTTAACTTAGATAGGAATAAGATTTGGAGTGCTACTGCACAGCAACATGAAGATAGATAATGTATTATATATATATATTATATATTTAAAACAGGAATTTTTAATGTTTTCACCATAAAAAATGATAATCATTAGAGGAGATAGATATGTTTACACTGATTTAAATGTTACATATTGTATTAATGTACCAAAACGTCACATGATATCCTGCAAATATGTATAATTTTTATCTATTAGTAAAAAAAAAGTGACATGAAATGATATAAGACCTACTTGGCTTACTGGTTTAAAACATTCACTGAATATTTTGGGAGGTGCAGTTGTTATTCCTTAAGCAACAAACTTGCTTTTGTGTACAGATTTTGCCTGGTTTATTTAGTGCTTCTTGAATCATAAGCAGAATTGGCCGTATAACTTGTGTCTCTGTCTTGGTTACTGTTCTCTTGTTGCTGGACAAAATACTTGACACTCAAAATGAGCAAAGGAAAGCTTATTTAGCCCACTGTTTGTGGAGGTGTTAGCCCATAGTCAGCTGGCTACAGTGCACGTGGCATGGCACCAGTGCAACACTTCAAGGCAGCAGCCAGTAAAAGCTGCCAGAGTAAAAGGAAGGGAACAGGCCTTATTATAAACAGGCTAGCTCCCTACCCAGGAAGGGTGTGGCACTCACACCACCTCTGTGTTGTCCTTTTGCACAGGATGAGGATGTTTACAAAGTAAGGATCCTGGCTCTCTGCTGAGTCTCTTGTTAAGTTTCTAAACTTCTCAAGTTGACACTAGGTATCACCCATAACAGTCTACCCCTTGTCAACTTGGCAAGCAGACACATTTCTTTAAATTAGTCTTTGGATACAAAGAAATGCTTTTTCTTACCATTTCACAAAGCTTGAATATTATAACATAGGTTTAACAACCCTTAAGAACCAACATTTAGTCTATTAACATTATATTACATTAGCATCGTAACCTTTTGTCCCTGTACTCCCAAAGACTCATACACATCCCTTTATGCAAAAGGCATTTAGTCCATCTACAAGAGTTGCCAAAGTCCTAAAGGTTTCAGCATTGCTAAATAGTTCAAGTCCCAAGTCTCTTTGGAGATGGAAGGCAGACTGTTAGCTGCAAACCCCTGCAGAAATGAAAACAAAGTCAGACACTTCAACATGCAGTGGCACAAGATAAACCAAAGCATGGGGCCAAAGTGAGTCCAAAATCCAGCAAGGAAGACAGTAAATCCTGTGCCTACAGGTCCAGCATCTGAAGCAATCCCTGGCAAGCTGTGAGCTCCAAACGGCTCGTGGGCTCCACCCTATGACACTTCTGGTGGGTGTAGCTCCCACAGCTTCTCTCGTAGGTTGGTTTTGCTGCTTCTTTGCAGCTTTCCTTAGATGATGCACATTCCAGGCTCTCAGCTGGATTCTTTGGATCTTAGTGTGGGACAAGTTTCCCACACTCTTTTGCATTTGATTCTTTGGCGAATATTATAAAATAATCCTGTAAATTATGTGTCCTGTATTACATCCTTTCTCTTGTACACCGTAAGACAAACTCTGTACTTCTCATTCTTCCAAACTCCCTGGCCTTGAAAACTTACTGTGCTTTTTCTCTCCTTGAGTTGGACTGCTTGCCATGCTTTTTATGTAGATAAAATCATATAGTATTTGCCCTTTTGTGTCTGACTTACTTCACTCAGCATAACACCTTCAAGACTCATTCATGCTGTGGCAGGTGTGAGAACTTCCTTTTGACACTTTCTTGTTTTCTTTTGTTTCAACCATCCACAGACTGTTGCACTGCTCCTGCTTTTGCCTGTTGTAAGTAGTGCTGCTGTGAATGTGGGTGGACCAAAGTCTTTTTAAGATTGCTTTCAGTTTTTTGGGTCCATATCTGAAGCAGAGTTTCTGGACCATGTGGCAATTCTATTTTTAACTCTTGGAGGAAGCTCCACACTGTTTTCCACAAAGGCTGCACCACTTAAAACTGTACCAGCAGTGTACAAGCGTTCCAGTTTTTCCACATCCTCATAACACTGGGTATTTTTCTTTTTTGTTTTTTTGACAGTATTCTAATAGTGTATGTGGTATCTGACTGTGATTTTGATTTGCATTTCCCTGATAGTCACATTCAACTTTTCTTCTAGATGTGTGTATGATTACTCACAGCGACTATTCTTTCTCTTTCTAAGAAAGCAGATGAAGTTGCTGGAGCAGTCGGGTTCCCTGAAAGGCACCCTGAGCGTCGATCAGCAGCTGTCACTCATCAGCGGCTGCTCTAACATTGCAGAAGCAGTAGAGGGAGCCATGCACATTCAGGTGAGCGGGGAACCAACACCCAGTGTGTGGCGCTGAGATGGCTTCCTTCGTATCTGGAAGTTACGGGCAAGATAAAAGGCAAAGGGTAATGTGAAAATCGTGAGCCCTCAAAGTGGCTGGAATCAGGGCCCTCCAAACATCCCAAAGAGGTTCTCAGCAAACTTCTGTGTAAGCTTGTATCTTTGATGTGTTATAATTTAGAGCAAAAATAGATATTTTGGACTGCTAGCACTATTTTCTTTTATCAGCTTCAGAAATTAAAGATTATATTCTTGTTGTCATATATAATTAAAAGCTTAAAAAAATCTCCTTTCACTTGTGTTCAGCCTTTACAGCAGCTTGGCTTAGGTAAAGAGTCATCCTCACAGGCACTGTTACTGGGTCACAGGGGAGCTGGGGCAGCTCCTGGGCTGGTCTATCCTGCAGATCCTGTGCCCACAGGTGTGCTGGCTGTCCTAAGGACCCAGACATAACGCCATCTTCTGAAAGGACATAGTTACTGCTGTAGGGTTAAGTACATTTACCTGAAACTCAGTCATTGTTCCTAGGACCTCTCCTGGATATTTTGTATTCTGGGTCATACATTCCATGTTGCTCCTATGGTGATAGTCTGAGAATTTTCGAGCTAACCAAAGTGGCTATGCATGTTCTGTGGTCAGCTGCTGCTCTCTGATTGAGGTCGAAATAGAAGAGTTGGAGGTTCTAAGTCTTTGTGGCTCTAATGTTTCTGTAGTGTCTTTAAGAATTATGTATGAAGACAGAACATAAGGTAAGGTCTATTTTTAATTCCTTTTATCTTTCCAGTATATAGCAGATCTTATCTGTATTGACCTGCAGTTAATGCAGTTCAAAAGTGTTGTGTTTTGACCATTTCAAGAAAGACATACTCGTGTAACTTTTAGAGTGTTATCTTGTTATAACTGGCCTAGTTTATTACTTATAAATCTCTTACCATTGCTAGTTTATAATTAAACTGTATCATGAAGGGATGTAGTATGGGTAGGCCAGTACTTCCCCCAGTGATAGTTAGGCTACCCTGGGGGTGCAGGGCATGAGCCCTGTGGGTAAAGGGCTGGTGTCCTCTGTCCCTCCTGCAGTGCAGGGTGAGGCTACACGAGCTGCAGGCCCTGCTGGGGTTCAGAGGCCTCCTGCAGCGTGAGCTTTCAGGTGCTGGTTCCTGCGTGCTGAAGTCATGGGTGTGACAAAGGTCTTGCTGCCTGTGGAGGGCAGAGAAGCTTCTTCCTGTGGAATTAGCTTTAAAGGCTCGCGTACTGCTGTTATGTCGGCCACCAGGGGGAGTGGCCAAGGCCAGTGGGCTCCCCTTGCTTAGGAGTGTGCGGTTCAGACCCACTTTGGGCACTTTGCCTTTAGCATGGGTTTGGCTTTGCCAAGTTTACCTTGGAGACTCTACTCATCTGTAAAATGAAGTGATAGCTGTAGCCCTGGGGCGGTGTGAGGATTTGCACGGGTTCATGCGGAAGGCGATTCTGCTGAAAGACAGGCCTGCAGTACTGGAGTAGGAGTCAGATGCTCGGGACCCTTCTGGACAGCCATGTAATAGCTACACAGCTCCTGCGGACGCTCTCTTTGCATCCTCTAGATAAACTGCAATACCTGTGTTTGCACAGCCCCATTCTCATTTGCTTGTTTCATGTTTCTTCAGGCCTCTTATCTAATTTTTTTTTGCCTACTAATTTGCAGCTTTTGTCTTATATTTTGTTTCCTTTTACATTTCTCCACATTGGTCCTGAACCCTCATTTGTGTGTGTAACCACCACCATTCCTAGCTAGAGCACTGTCTTGCTACCTGGGAATATGTTACTGTGTAAAGTACTGAGTGCTTAGCACAATACTTGGCGCATGGAAAATGCTCCATAAATGATCAGTATTTTATGATATGGTCTTTTTTTTTTTTGGTACCAAGAATTGAACTCTTACACTTGTAAGGCAGATGCTGTGCTGATGACATGGTCTTTTGTGTAGAGCTTTGGTAATGAACAAATGACATAGAACAAAATAATCATAATCACAATCATAATAGTGTTTCATGCACAGTGGGTGCTGAAACTGCTGTGTTTCCTCGGCCTGTGTCTGTGTAAGCTCAGTAAGCTCATCTGTTACGCAGAACAGCACTGGGGCAGGCAGTGGGAGAAGAGGAAAGAGAAGGAGGCTGCAAGCTAAGTGTCATGAGCCTTTGCTCGGAACCAGGTGGCCGTGTATGAGGGCTTCTTTCTAGATTGATCTGGGGGTCTCTGACACTTTGTGTCTGGTAAATTTTGAAGATAGTGTGAGTTTTCCAAATTTGTGTTGACAATTCTAGTTCCTTTGCTTTACATTTTTTTTTTTTTTTTTGGAGACGGTCTCATTTTGCAGTTTAGGCTGGCTTTGAACTCACTATGGAGCTCAAGCTGGCCTTATGGTGGCCCTGTGGTGATTCTCCCTCAGCCTCCTGAGTGCTGGATTTACAGTCATGCCACCACGCCCAGCTTGCTTTATATTTTAGAATTAGCAATCAATTTCTTTTAAAATGAAAGCAGAAAACAATGATACCGAATTTCAAAACAAAATAATAGGTTAACAATGGTTAATATACAGTGCATTATTATCTTAAAAGTAGTTGTTCAGATTACAAGATATAGGCATGAAAAAATGATCATTTAAACAATGAAATCACAAACTTCTTTTTGATGAACAGATTAGTAGTATAATTATCTATTATCTATCTATATTTTTTTCTTTCTTTCTTTTGTCTTTTCCGATATCCCAGTTGTTGCTTCTCTTTGAAAGAACAATTTCTTTCCCTTTTATTTTCTTAAAACTATTGTACATTTGGATCTTATTTACTCTTTCAGTTTTTTACACTTAGGAAACAATACTATGTTCACACATGTGAGTCTGATTTATTTCACTTATGAATATAAGTGAAGTTGTATCCATTTACCTATTTTTATTCAAGTCTATTCTTTTTTAGTAGGTAAATTTATAAAAAAAATTCCTGCTGACATTTTGATTGGTATTATGGTGAAATTATAGAGCAGTTTAAGAGATACTTGGCATCTTCACAAAATTGAGTTTTCTAAAGAACATGTTGTATCTCTCTATTCATGGTATTTAGTCTTTAAGAATTTCTCTCAATGTTTTTACGGTTATTATATAGATCTTGCACATGTTCTCTTAGTTCTATACATATGTATTTAATGACTTTAATGCCATTATAAAAAGTACAGTAAAAGTTTTCAATTTCCAGTTCATTAGTATATAGAAATATAAATTAAGTTCTGCGCATTGATCTTGTACCCTATAACCCTGCTAAACTCACTCATTAGTTCTCGTTAGTAGCTTTTTTGTACAGCTTTTGTATTTTTGACGTGAACAGTCATGAGTTTTATTTCTTCTCTTTCACTTTCTTTAGAATGAGTTTTATTTTGTCTCTTACAATTGATATGACCTTCATTTATTTACTTTTAGCTTATTGAACCGTCTAGACTGTCTACTGCTATTGAACAGGAATATAAAATCAGATATCCAGCCTTATTTCTGATTACTGCAGGGAAAGTGTTCTTCCACTGCTAATTGTGATATCAGAGTTCTTTTTTTAAATGCTTTTTATCAGGTTAAGGAAGTCCCCTTTAATTCCTATTTTTTTAGGATTTGGTACCATGAATCGATGTTGAACTTTGATTTTTGTCAAATGTGGTTTCTTTCTCAACTAAGATGATGATGTGTTTTTTGCCCTTTTTTCCCTGTTGTTATGGTGATTTTTTTCTTCCAGGAGGATGGGATCCCTCCTAGGACCTTTCACATATGGTGAATGTTAGGGGATTATTTTACACTCTCGAACAAACCCGCATACCCAGAATCAATCTCACTTAGTCATGGTTTATCCTTTTTGAATTTTCTGTGTTAAATTTGCTAATATTTTTTGAGGATTCTCTATGTTTATGAAAGATATTGATCTGAAATTTTATTTTCTTGGCATTTTTTCAGCTGGTTTTCCTATAGGACTGGTCTTATAAATGAGTTAGAAAATCTTACCTCCTTTTCTGTCTCCTGAAAGAGCTTTTGTGAGATTGATTTTATTTCTTTTTAAATGTTTCAAAGCATTTACTAGGGAAACTATCTAGGCTTCAAGTTTTATGAGTTAGGAGATTTTAGTGAGTTCACTATGGATACAGTACTATTTGGGTTATTTTTCCATCTGAATAAACTTTAAAAGTTTTTATTTCTCAAGGAATTTCTGCATGTCATCCAAGTTTTTGACTTTGTTTATTTACTTATTTTTTGGCATTGAACCTTTGGTATTTTTTGTTATATGACTTTGCGCTTGCCGGGCAGGTGCTTATGCTGCTGAGCTAAATTCTCAGCCCCTAAATTTTTGAATTTATAAGAGATATCTTTATTGATAACATTTTCTTACTGGCCTTTTAATGTCTAGTGTTTGTATTGGTATCTCTTCTTTATTCATGATATTAATTTGTGTTTTCTGTTTTTTCCTGAAGTAGTTGTATCAGTTTTACTAATAATTTCAAAGAAATAACTTCTGGTTTCATTGGGACTTTTATATTATATATATATTTATATGCATTTTATATTTCACTAATTTCTGCTTTTAGCTTTATTTTTTCCTTCTGTTTCTTTTGGATTATTTTTATTTTCTAAGGTATAATCTTAAAAAATTTTACAAGTTTGAGGCCTATTTTTTTTAATATAAGCATCTAATATATATTTCCACTTTGGAACTAGTTCCCACAAATTTTATGTATTATTTTTGTAGTCACTGAATTAAAAGTACTTCCTTATTACTCCATGACTTACTCTTTTACTTACAGAAAACTTAGAAATATATTGTTTAAATTATAACTTTTAGGTGCTTTCCAGATATATTCTGTTATTGATTTTTTAATTTAATTTATGGTCCAAGAATACGCTTTATATTTTAATTCTTTTAAGTTTGTTATGGTGTGTTTTATAACCCAGCACATGACCTGTCATGGCAAATA